CTCCTTCTGATCCTCCTTGTAGATGGGCATCATATATCCCAACCTCCAGTCAACTGACACCTCCTCAATTAGCTAAACTAAATGAAGAAAAGTGGCTTAGTGAGCACTTGCACCAGCACCCTTAGGACCCTTGGGTGGATCCTATACAAGCCCAAACATTTGAGCATGTCTAAGTGATGTAGTGGGTCTCTGAACATTTCCCTTTGGATTATGTGGGCTTTATTCTGCTGCTCTCTGTCTGATGAGGAGGTTGGGTACCCTGAGAACAGCTGAGCTGATGTGACCATTAAAAATTGATACAAAGAAGACCCCAGTCCTTTCTTCATGCTTTGTCACTGTTTTTCCCCCTTCATGTGAAAAAGGCTGGGTACTCTCCTTAGCCCACCATTGTTGTTAATATATGTGGTATTCAATACCACAAATATATTCATTGAAACTTATTTTTGCCTTTTACAGCAGCAGATAGGTTAAGAACCAGTTGGGCTTTGGCTCTTCTGAGTTTCTCCCTGCATGACCTCATGACATTCCTGTACTCTTCCTGAGTAGCCTGTCTGGTCTTACAGATAAATTCTCTTGTTTTTTGATGGAGTTCAGCTCTCTGTTCAGTCAGGCTGGTCTTCTTCCCTGCTGGTCCCAATTTCAGCACGTGGTGGCAGCCTGGTCCTGCACTTCTAGGATTTCATTCATGAAGAATGTCCAGTGTTCCTGGGCTCATCTGCCAACCACAACTGCCTCCCAGTAAACTTTTTCAACCAGGCTTCTAAACAGGCCCAAGTCTGCCCTCCACAAGTTCAAGGTACATGTTCTTCTTGCCAACCTTCCTTACTTCTCTGAGAATTAAAAGCCCTGTCAATTTGTCATCACAGTGGCCCAGAGAGCCTCCAACCATCATATCCCATCACCCACCAGTCCTCCTCTGCCCAAAAAACAGCAGTTCCAGTAGGGTGCCCTACCTTGTTGACATCCTGACCAGCTTTGTCAGGGCATTATCATCCAGGGTACACCCTCCAGGAACCTCCTGGACTAGTTCCTTTCCACTCTGTTTCTTTTCCAGCAGGTGTCTGGTAGTTTGAAATTCCCCACAAGAACAATGGCAGTGATTGTCAGAGTTCTCCCAGTTGTTTCTACACTATTTTGCCTGCCTTTTTTTTCTGTTTTGGTGGTCTATAGCAGACATTGACCATGGTATTTGTCTTTCATATAAAAACTTGAAGAGTAAAAAAGAAGAAAATCTGCAAAAGAAAGAAACCATTAGCAGTGATTTTGTGATTACCAATACTAGCGTATCTGAAAGGAATTTATCTGACATATCTGACAAATTCTTTTCTATTATTCTTGAATGTAAATTAAGGTTTATTTTTTTTCGATAGTGATGGGTAGATACTGGGAATTAATTATTTATTTGTCAATTCACCTTTCATCAGAACTGACTACTGTAGAGTTCAGTAAATTATAATGTGAATCATTTTTACAAGAACTCTCTCGCTATTAATAGCACACAGGCCACTTATATACCTAAAAGAAAACTTCCTTATTATTCATAGTCCAAAGAAACATTTGTATTTAAAAATGGGTATAATGATCAACAGAGCTTAGTCTCTAGTGTGATGCAGTTTTCTAGGTCTTTATCCAGCAGTTCTCAAGGAAGAGGTTGATCTGTTTGCTCACCATTAAATACTTTGCCAGTCTAATGGCAGTTCTGAAAGGAAAACAATAGAGATATTTTTCACTGAGACTTATGGTACTGGGGTAGAAAACTGTTAAGAATTGTTATGTGCAATTGAATGGAAAGACAAGGAGTGATGTGCTCTTTCTAAATCTCTGAATCTGTGCTTTGAGCTCTATGACTTCTTAACAAATAGCAAATAACAAGGTGACAACTTGCAAATGCTTTCTCACACAGACACTACCTATTTTTAGTCTGGATGTTGTTCAAGTTTGAAAGGGAAGACATGATATTTCAGAAGAACCCCATCCTACCTTGTATATTTAGTATTCTGTAAGGGATTTTTTTCTTAATTATCTCTATCTTCCGTGTATGCTTCTGCATTTCAAGCCCCTTTGGCTAGTGAATCTGCAAATAAACAATAGCTTCTATCTGAAGCCAGAGGTTTCTGAATGCCTCACAAATGTTTTTTCATCCCAGCTGTCACACTGTGCAGTTGCTAAAATCTGTGGTGACAAATCACAGCTCTGAAGGTAGATTAGCAGACATTTATCATCTTTGTTTGTAACAAAGAAAATGCAAATGTATCTTAGCTTATTGTTTGTTTCACTGAATCCCACTCTCCTAAGGTGCACCCTTAAGTCTCCTTTTGGTTTCACCTTTCTCAGAATTGCACAGAACAAACATGAACTGAGAGTGTACATAAATACACATTCTCTCTTGCTCTATTTCTGATGGGGTTTATTACATAAGATGAAGAATAACTGAAAAGATCATTATTTTTCATTCTTTTGATTGACATTTATGCTATTCTCCCACATATAAACAGTATGTGCAGTAGCAAAAGGTTCCTGATACTTTCTTAGTGTTGTTCTTGCATATATTCCGACATATTTACCAAAAAAAATCAAGGCTGAAAGCATGCATCTTTTTCATTCACATGAAAAGTCTGATTCTTATTGAGTGAGAGAACTTATTTCATTATTTTGGGCCAAGCTCAATGAAGTTTTGCCTCCTGTTGCTATTAGACTGTGCCTCATTACAGAATGTGTTATTCAGGAGACAGATATCACTCATGATCATCATCCCAGAGGCTTAGGGTTAGGGTTAGGTCAGTGGGTTTTTTAATCTTCTAAAAAATATTCAGACTCCATACAATTTATCTGTGAAGATATTAAAAAAAAGTACTTACTAACAGGATACATAATTTTTGTGACCCCTAAGGAAGTAGTGCAGGGACTTCTCTCTGTTATCTATGGGTAACATGTTTACATCCACTGCTTTGGTTAGGATAACTGAAGAGAAAACAGAAATGAATAAGAGATGAGATATAAAAGCTTCAGCTTGTTTGAATAATTTGTGTTTAAGAAAGTTAAACTCCTTCCCATTTTTAGAATGAATGTTCTTCTCAAGTCAAACCCACAGTTTTCATGGGCTTTCCATCTGCACAGGCAGACATATCAAGAGAAAAATATAGTTTCACATATCAAATTGTTTTCTACAAGTGATGATGAGCCATTTAATTTACAAACACAGTAACAGTAAACAGCCCACCATACCAGAAGCAGAGTTAACACTTTGGGAAAATAGCATTTGCATTTCCCTTAAAACAAAAGATGAAGTCTTCCTACTGAAAAATTAGTGGCAGTTCTGCTTTTAATTTTACTTGAAATTCACTCCTGTGTGTGCCATCATGCATTTCACAAAATATTGGTGGGCAATAAGGAGGCAGTTGCTTTCAAACTTACAATACAAAAATGTTGAGAATCAAATTTTGTACCTTCCCTATAAATACGGAAGGACTCACCTGGAGGCACTGAATTATTAAGGGTTATTATAATACCAGCAGTATTTCACAGAAGACAAGGCTTCAGGATGTCCTGATTGGACCCTCCAGTACCTGAAGGGATCCTGTAGGAAAAATTGAGAGAGACTTTTTCAATAGTGTATGGTGATAGAACAAGGGGGAATGGCTTTAAACTGAAAGAGGACAGGTTTAAGTTAGCTATTTAGAAGAAATTCTTTCCTGTGAAGATGGTGAGGCACTGGAACAGGTAACTGAAGAATGTTGTGCCATCCATGACGTTGTTCAAGGCCAGATTGGGTGGGTCTGTGAGAAGTCTGGTCTAGTGAAGATGTCTCTGTCCATATCAGTTATCAACTGATCTTTCAGGTCCCTTCCAACTAAAGCATTCCATGACTCTATGAAGAGCTGCACAAAGAAAAAGAGAAAACAGCAAATAAGCTGTAAACAAGTGTAAACAAGTGTAACAGCCAACCCTGTACTTCATAACAGCACATAAAGATATATTAAAATAAACGATATGGCTATGGCACTGAATTTTCTTAGTGGTGAAATACCATTTCTGTGTTCATGTTTCCCTTATTAATATCTGTTTAAAACTGTTTTGAGGTTTGCTGTTTGCTTCCAGTTTGGCAGCTCCCAGATGATATATAAATATGCATTTATCTTTGAAATTCACTTAAAAATTCAAACCATTACATATATTGCTTTAAAGTATGTCAGCTGAAGGTATTTTCTTCACTGGAAAAAATAAAATCCACAAGCACTTGTCCTGTTGTAGAACATTTGACAGCTTGCATATGTAGAACAGGTAAAGATAGTAAAAGATGACTTGGAAACTGATACCAAAAGTGATACATATTTTTTGAGTTACTTTAATTTTTGTAAAACCAAGTTGAAGCTTCTTTTTTTATTTTTTTTTTTTTAAAACTGACCTTCAGACAACATTTGCTTTACCATGAGAAAAAAATGAATATTATATGAGTGCATATGCTTTTCATAGAAAATTAAGTAAAAAGCCAGCATGGGCTTGGGTATTCATGTAGCCGAACTGAGTAGAATATGTTTTGAATTGTGTGTAAAAAAAACCTATTGACATTAAGTTGCTTCTTGGTTACCTAAATCATGGGAGGTAAGACTTAGAGAAATACTTATTACACTTTGGCAAAATTATTAGTATTTTTCCATTAGAAGCAATGGATTTTGACACTTGACAGTAGACTGTCATGATTTTGTAATGGTGAAAGTCAAGACTTCACACTGGTCCAGTGACTGACACATTGACAATTACCTTGAAACATTGAATGAAATAAATAGTACATAGAATTTTCAAGGAAATATTTGACAAAAAATATTATCCAAACTGATGAAAGCTTTGTCTCGAGTTCCCCAGTTTATGGTGCAATTTGAGAAAAAACACTTGCTAGAGAAGCTGCTTGTATTTTAAGTTTTTGATGACCACTGCTATGGGCTTGTTCAAACTTTAGCTGTTACTCACTTGCTTAATCCATGACCTGTATCTCCTTTTAGGATCGGTGGAGCCATGCCAACAGTCTTCTCCTATTTTTCGGAAGTGCTTGCTCGGGAGAAACGAGGTGAACACCTGAGCTGGCTCTGTATGTTTTGGATGATTGGTGGCATCTACGCTTCTGCAATGGCTTGGGCAATAATTCCTCATTATGGTAAGAAAAACCATAGAAGAAAGAAAAATCTCCTTGTGATTTGGAAGTATTCCAGTATGAAAGTAAAGATCTTGAAGCTTGATAGCTTAAAGAAGAGTCTTCATGTCTGTTTTTGAACTACTGACCTAACTGATAAAAAGAAATTTATTCCTTTTGGAGGATATAGTGGGAATAGGTTGTAAGTCAAATAATAAATAATTTATTACAAGATGCAAAATTTCACTAATATCCATATTTAGTTAAATTTTTTTAATTAATGAAAACCTGTACACATGAAAATTTAATTGGTGTCATTGTTAAATATGGAGAAAAGAAAGTGAGAAAGAACTTTCTTAATGTTTGCAGTGCTGAAATCTGAAATTAGTCTGCAAATAAAGCTGTACTGAATGTTTCTTAGTATTTTTAGTGGTGTGAAAACAGATAAATGGAACACAGTGCATATAAATGCTGTAGGGATTTATGAGGGCAATGGTTGAAGTTATACTCACATAAAATATAAGCAACTTTGTCAAAGAGCTCTTTAATTGCCCTGATATAGTTAAACATAATATAGAGGTATAGATTCAATTCTTTGTCTCTTGTGCTTGCATTTTACAAGAGTTAAGTGCTCACAGGTCTCTGGAGCTGCTCAGACTGCTCAGGAGTTCTTAGAAATCAGCTTCTTAAGCAGTTCTCTCTGGCAGGCCTCAAGTGAAGTAAAGCAGTACTGTGAGCTGGCATCCAAAGCAGCTTCCCTTAGCCAAGCAATGAGGTTTATCAAAGCTATATTGTGAAGGTTTGCTTGGAGTGATGGGAACATTTAGCAAGTGATAATGTCCAGAAATAAATTGTAATAGTGCAGACTAATCAAATACCTAGACTATTGCATTGAAATTATTTTGTGGTTCAGTACACTAAACCTGAATCTTTGCCTTCAACCTTGCCTTTTGACTTTGAACTGCTGGAAGCAAAGAGAGGAACTTGTGCTGACAAGGCACAATACAGACTTTTTTTTTCTCAAAGTAGTAAATTGCAAAGTAGTAAAATGCCAAGTACTTTTTTTCTTTCCTATGGACTTTTATTTTCTTTATCTTTCTTTATCTTTCTATAAATGCAAACATTATGACAGACTGCTTTACATAGGTTGTCTAATTTAATGTAAATTTTATCAACAATTTTATATCCTTTACTGCGGTGCTTTTAGAACATCACATGGTAGTATATTTTAATATAGTACACTTACTCCAAACCAGCTTCACTACAGGGAAAACATTTCTTCTTTGTTTAGCCGTGGAAGAATATCAGCAACAAAAAAGAGTGCTGCACTGTGGTTTTTTGTTGTTCTTGTTTTTGTTGTTGCTTTTTCCACCTGCAAAATTATTTTTTTAATATTATAAGACAAGAGAAAGTAAAAAACAATTTCAAAACATAGTATGCTTTAGTACTAGACATACAAATCACTGCTTCAGTTTATTAAGATAAGTTAAAATTATCAAAAAGGGGCCAGAAAAATCAAGCTATCAAAAGAATACTTTCTCAGAGTAAAAGAAGTACGTTTGTACATCATTTTGGCAGAATTAAACAGAACATATTTATGGGTTTTGATGAGGTCTTAAAACCGCCTTTACTTTTTTGTTGTGTTTGAAGTCTAAAACCTAGTCTTAGTTCCTAGTACTAGCGTGAAATCTCTCCAGTTCAGACAAACTCTTTTATAATGCTGTGGCAACCTCTCAGATGTTGCCAAGGGCTCCCAGGGCAAACCCTGCTCCAGCGTTTGGGGAGTGTGGTCACACATTGCTGTCCCCACCCAGAAACATTCCAGGTCAAGAAAATTACATTTATATCACATGCAATTACAGGGAGGCTCTTATAGTATTTCTCTTTTACTATTTCTAAATTATTTCTACATAGATTTCTTTTGCCAGAATTAAGCAGATATAGAGATTTTCCTCCAAATCCCTTTCTGTACTTTTCATCATTCACATTTCAGTGACCAGGAAACAAAAAATAATTATAAACTACCCACCCACTTTTAAACTGCATTTTTATTTGTGCATGGGTATTTCTGTGTTCTCTGCTTCTCACTTGAGGACCTGACAATGTTTGGTTTTCTCAGTGGGACTCAAAAGTTACTCAATAGCAGTGAATGAAGCTCCATCTGTAAAAAAAGCAATAAATGTCATTGAGCATGGTGGAATTATCCTTTTATTAATAGAAAGATATCAGGCCAACACAGTAGAATACTTCTGAATATTCTTTTCTTCCTTCGTTTACCAATGTATTCCTTTTATTTGTACTCCTTCTCATACAAGCCACTTTGAAAAAGTGCTAGATTCATAAGTATATATTATCTAGCCCAAAACAGATAGTGAAGCTATGTATGCATGTTTGCCCTTTGAACACTTAGCTATATTCTTCTGGGAGAAAACACAGATTACTCTCTCTATATAACAGTTTATCTCTGTTGTTTTTCAAGTAGCACAGCAGAATCTGAAACAGGAGCAATGCCCTGGAACACAAAATAAAGTGTTGGTAATTGTTGTTTTGACATCAGCATGTTGCTAAATGAGGGATAAGTGTGATGCAGTGCTGCAGTCACCACATATGGAAAGGCTAATATCATCTGTAAGATGAGCATCTCTGTATCAAGGCTTTTTGATTTATATATCTGTTGGCCAATGTTTAAAAACTGGAAGTTTGTGTAGACTTGTTCAAGGTCTCCTAAACTGGAGCTCAGGCTGTGAAGGAGAAGAAACATCAGCAGAGAAATGCTTCTAATTGCAACTAATTTTAAAAGTTCCATATTAGACTGCTAAAAAGAAATTCCTCTCTACAATGTTTATATCAGGCTAGATAGGAGAAATAACAATAATTCTGTAAATACTTCTGCATGTTCAATTTTAATTTTAGCATCCTGTTTCAAAGTAGAGTAGTTCAAAGATGTCAAAAACTTCAACTGTGTATTACAATAGTGTACAAAAATGTTTGTTTTTCAAATAGTGAAGAGTCCTAAGAAAGATAAATTTTAGTTTAAAATCCAGATACTGATACCTTACAAAATTTTTACACCAAATTTATTTTTTAGTTTTAGAATAGGAATTAAAACAAATTAAAAAAGAAAAAAAAAAAAAGAAAAAAATCTGTGCCATGATTGTAAAAATCTGTCTCAATTTTTGTTGTAACATGTCTCCAAACTAAACATCAAGGGAAGCTAGATAAGGATTTCAGTGTTTTTAGACTATCAGTTTTGATAATCTGTCTAATTTAATCTGTTTTGCCTGTAAGAGTCATACAAGCCTTTTCTGGCTTTATGGACTATAGGGAAATATTTTGAAATTTGCAACATTACCTAGCATATTTTACTTAGTCATAAAAAATATTGACCTCATTGGTTCTTAAATCTTATTCTTGAGCAAGGAGTTCTTGACCAAAAAGAAATTAGATTGCAAGGCAGAGAACAGGATAGTGCAGGTATCCAGGCTGTTACAGCATAAGCTGCAAGTGGAACCTGAAGCTTTTCCCAGACTCTCACACCTCATTTCTGGTATTAACCATAGAAGAGAAGAGATAGCCATGTCAAATGACAGTAGTGAACAAATCTCCACTGTATGGCCAGAGACAGAGACATTACCTCCATAAATATGCATAAGATTCCAATTCAATTAGGCTCCATTATTCCCTAAACCACTTCAAATTTAATAATACAGAATCAAAGAAATAGGAAAATTACTTCTTTCTAACACATTCAGTACAAATCAGATGTAAGTTTAAACATTCTTTCAGAACAGTGTAATCACATTGTGATGACAGACCTTCACCTAAAGCATTCATTTTTCATCACTTTTTTCCTACTAAATTGAGGACCACTTACTTGTGTTCATAAGAGAAGTATTTAGCACTATTCAGGAAACAAACTTGGAGCAAAAAAGTGTGGAATAAGAAGTCTAAGGAAATGGCATTCCATTTCAGAAGTGAAGATTTACTGCCTAGGTGTAATGTGTCTCTCTGGTTGTTAATTGGAAATGTATTAAGATGTTCTCTATTCCAGCAGTTTTCTATTTCATCAGCAAAGAACTGGTGCTTTATTCTGTGACTAAAAGTCACAGTTACAAATTATAAACTTGTCACTAGTCACAAATTATATTTCTACATCAGTCATTAGAGTTTTACTAGAAAAAGCTATTTTTTTCTGAATGTGGCTTTTTGAGAGAGGAAGTTCTTTACAGTAACAGAACTTAAAAATACAGACATATAAGTGTTGAAATAATGCACTCACTCTTGACTTGCAAAGCACTGTATTTAAAATATTAACAATAACTTCTGTTTTGAGAATTTTAAATTTTGTCTCCTATTGAAAAATTTTGTATTCATTTCCTGGTCTATAAAATATATCCACTTCTATTCTCTCTGAAGGTTTTTGCTTTTTACTTTTCTCCTGTCAATATGAGTAAATGAGTTTAAAAGGCAGCAACTGGGATTTAATTTAGACAGGATAGAAGATAAGTTTTAAATACAGTTGTTATATAGTACTAATATGAGCTGGCAAATATACTTACAGAATCTTCATTCAATGGATATTGTCAAGGCTACATGAAACTACAGACTTTCCTTAACAGTTTAGAATCACGCTAAATTCACTTGACCTACCAAAGGAGACTTGTTGACCGTTCTTAATTCTACTTTCCATAGCTAGATAAGTCTTTTTTTAGGCCCAGGAGTCCATAATGGCTTCTATCTGAGTGTAAATCTGAGGACAATGGACCAATCTGTTTTTCTTTTCAGGAAGAACTGGCTTGCAAAGTGGCCTGAAAAATATTTCTCAGTTTGTAGCAGAAGATTGTGTGGTAAAGCAATCAAATTCATCTGAATTTACTCTACTAGCAATGAAAGTGATACTTTTATCACCCTTTATCATGGTGGCTTGAGAACATCTTTTTTTGCACTTTCCATGTCATGTTTGCTCCATTTTTGTGTTGTCCAACTGAAGATAAAAAAGATAAACGCATCTCCAAAACAGCAAT